GCCGTGAGCGTGCCACTGCACTCCAGCCTGGGCAATGGAGTGAGATTCCAACTCCAAAAATAAAAAAGAATCACAATAAAAAGCAAATTTGATTTTAAAACTCAGTTTCTTGTACTTCCATCTTTTGACAGTTTCTGGTGACCTACCAAGGAACCCAAAGGACACCTCTGACAACTCCTAGGACCCCTTGAGGAATGCAGGAAAAGGACCCCTTTTGAGATCCCTTCTTCCTCATGGAGCCCCTAGGGCTGTAAGTTGCTCTCAGGTCAGATTCTGCTCCTTAGCATTGAGCCCCTAATCTGTTGTTAAGGTTGTGCTGAGAAAGCACATGACTTTGATGAGGGTACCAAGGGCTAGTTTGTGCCGTAAGAGAATACATGGTCTTTGGGGGTTTGTGGTGACTGACAAGCCACTGGCAGAAAAGTAACAGTTTTTTTTTTGTTTGTTTGTTTTTTGAGTTGGAGTCTCACTCTGTCGCCCAGACTGGAGTGCAGTGGCCGCTCCCGGCCACCACAGCCTCGATCTGCTGGGTTCCGGCGATTCTTCCGCCTCAGCCTTCCAAGTAGCCGGAATTACAGGCATGCGCTACCACGCCCAGCTGATTTTTTGATTTATTATAGAGATGAGGTCTCGCTGCCCAGGCGGGTCTCGAACCCACAGGCTCAGGCAATCCACTCACCTCAGCCTCCCAAAGGCGCGGGATTACAGGCTGAGCCACAGGCTGAGCCACCGAGCCTGGCTAAAAGTAACAGTTTTAAAGGTAACTGATGGTGGTTGCAGTAAGCGGCAGTTTACTGCATGTGTGCAAGCAACTCGGCTTTGGAATTTGCAGGGATTTGGGTTTTCTCTTCTTTATTTTAGGTTTTTGTTGTTGTTGTTTTGTTGTTTGCACATTTAGTAAGGGGAGATGATTGGCTACACTGGTCAAGGGGATCTTGACATCTAATTGATAAGAACATTGAATCTGCCAACGTTTTTGCTTAGTTACTATCTTACTCCAAAAGCAGAAAGGAATGCTAAGTGTTTATAAAAGTTAAACCCACAGGTCAAGCAATTTGCTTCTTTTTCCAAGCTATACATGCTGAGTTCAGACACAGAGAATGCTTTGTCTGCTCTAATTGTTATGGGCTCTTCCCTGAACTCCATAACCTAGTTAAGAAACAGAAGCGAAGTTGAAAAGACTGCCTATTGAACTAAATCAGTCTCCAAAATATGCCTTTCTGGTATTTAGCCAGTTAGTTTGAAACACTTAAAAATTTATGTCTATAAAGGAAAATCACTAGAAATTTTTGTAGGAGAATTCTCACCAGAGAGCATTAGCCTAAACAAGCCTCACATCTGACCATTTTGTCTTAACTGCTCTTCCCAGCTATGCTTTTCTTTGTCTTGGCAAATATTGGTATTTAGTCCTGAAATATAAATTCTGTGCCTCTGAGATGTAAATTTTCTACCTTGTGTTACCTAAGGGTTATCCTTTCTGAAATGTAAATTTAGGGTAGAAAATGTTAAGATCGTTATTTATTGAAAAGATAAAAAAAAAGAATGGTCAGTGATGGAGTCCAAACAAAGGTTTATTCTACCAATGATTGGATGGACCAGAGGAACCTACTGCTGGTCCCCCAACACTGCAAGGCCCTCAGCTAGTCAGTTGAACAGTAATTAGCCCAGTTTGGAAACATTTTTATAACCAGAAGAAGAGATTGCAATGAACAACAAAACTGGCTAACAATCACTTAAGGCAGAAATCAGTCGGGTCAATCCAAAAAAGAACAAGGGTCCTGCTGGAATGGGTATAATTAGCAAGTTCATGTTTTCATGACCCAGATTTCTTGCCTTACAATATTTTCTACATTTAATTCTCCCAAGACTTTGAGAAGGTCCAAGAACAAAATTTTAACAAACTGAATTTTCAAGATCTTTTATTAGTGATTCATGAACCAGGCAGCATCCAGCCTACAACACAGACAGGAGCCCCCTGAGGTGTGGCAGAATGGTTGGGTTTTGTAAGGCAGCGTTGGCAGGAACAAGGAAACAGCATAGTATAAATAGCAGATTGGTTAACATCACGTGACTTTCCTTGTGTGGATTAAAGCAATGGGGGCTTCCTTATCATGCTGGCTCAGGTTGACTGGGCCCCTTTTGATTTGTTGCTGTGAATGCCCTGATTTAAAAAAAAAAACTAGCCGGGCTCGGTGGCTCAGCCTGTAATCCCGCGCCTTTGGGAGGCTGAGGTGAGTGGATTGCCTGAGCCTGCAGGTTCGAGACCCGCCTGGGCAAGCGAGACCTCATCTCTACAATAAAAAAATCAGCCGGGCATGGTAGCGCGCGCCTGTAGTTCCAGCTACTTGGAAGGCTGAGGCGGAAGGATCGCCGGAGCCCAGTAGGTCGAGGCTGCAGTGGCCAGGAGCGGCCACTGCACTCCAGTCTGGGTGACAGAGTGAGACTCCAACTCAAAAAAATAAATAAATAAATAAAAACTATCCTGTTTTTGTTTCTTTTTTTGTGTTGAGAAAGTAGTATTTATTAAGAAGATAGAAAAGCTCCCACAGCAGGAGGGAACCTGAACTGTCCTGTATTTAAGTTCATTTTGATTGCATGGATTCCATTCTGGTTTGGTCTGGTCTGTTGGAGCCCAAACAATGGCCTTCCATAAATTTTATTTAACAGGACCATTTGGAGGGTGCAGAGAAAGGCGAGAAGTCTTTAGAAACTTCAGCAGAAAAGAAGCCTGCTGGCAACATCTGACCAGGATCCTCATGTCGCATGAGGATACTAAAAGGACCAGGAGCTGCCAAGAGAGTTACAGGTTGTTCGCCCAAGCCAGCCAGCTGAGCTTCATGGAAGAAGAGGAGAGATCTTCAAGTTCCATTCAACGTCAGCATACTGGGAGGATTTTGTTAGATAGGGCTTGTTAATTTTGGCCTTCGGCTATTCCTTTTTCTATCTCAATCTTCTGTTTCCTAATTTGTAAAACACAGATTAAATGCTCCTAGCTTTGATTCTAAGAAATGTCAGAATTAGCTAAATTGCTAAATAGAACAACAATCTTAGAGAGTGTGAAATGAGAAGTAAAAGAATTACATTGAGCAAGTATATTTAACCAACTGAAATTAAAGATAAGGGCTTTCTTAAAGTTTAGCTTCCCCTGACCCTCTCACTCCCAAACCATTACTTTGCTAGGGCTGCCATAATAAAATACCACAGACTGGGTGTCATAACAATAGAAATTTATTTCTCACAGTTCTGGAGAGCAGAAGTCCAAGATCAAAGTGTTGGTGATTTTGTTTCTTCTGAGGCTTGTCTCTTTGGATTGCATACAGCTGCCTTCTTATGTGTCCTCTCATGGTTTTTCTGACTTGCAATTACATTCATGTCCCCACCCGTGGGGAGGAGGGAGGAGGAGAAGCTGCCTTGCAAGGCCAATCAACATAAGACTGCCTGAGGAGACAAGCAGCCGTTGAAAGATAAAAGTGGCTTCAATCTCCAGGGACCTACCTATCCTCACACTTTCCTCCCAGACTGCCTCCATAATATTTCAGGGCCGGATGGTCAGGGGAATTTTTTTTGGGACAGCGTCTACTGTAAAACCTAAGAATGGTATCTGAAATCTTTTTCAGATTCTGTGTATGGAAGACCTGAACTTCCCAGGCCCAGAGCACCAGGAATTCTCTACCGGTCACAGAACCCCAAGAAGACAGTCTCAACACCCCCCATGACATTATCAATCAATCAGCAGCCCGTCCCTAAGCTGGCCAAATATCCCTTAAGAAATCTTATCCTCTGAATCTTCAGGGAGGCGAATTTGAGTGATTTCTCCCACACTTCTCACTTAGCTGCTGTGTGATATTAAAGTATTTCTCCATTATAATAGCTGTATCAGTTTTGGTTTTTCTGGGCAGTGGGCATAAGAACCCAGCTTATCTATAGCATTTCCTCTGTGCACACATCCCTGGTAGCTCATCTTATGTCCAAAAGTCCTTTTTCTATAAGAGCCCACCCTAATGGCCTCATTGAGGTGTAATTACCTCATTTAAAGGTCTCATCTACAAATGCAATTGTACAGTTCAGCCCATACCAACCATCTATCCTAAGGTTCTTATTTCAAAACACTGTGGCCAAATGCAGACTTCTGGGGAGAAAATTATTTTATTTTAGGACAGAGGTGCACAGTTCAGCCCATACCAACCATCTATCCTAAGGTTCTTATTTCAAAACACTGTGGCCAAATGCAGACTTCTGGGGAGAAAATTATTTTATTTTAGGACATTTTAAACATACTTTTAAGTAGGATACATACTGCACTACATACTGAATGACATTAATAATATTTTCCTATAGATAATTATACCTGGAAAGCTAGTTAACAAAATTTTAAAAATATTATTTCTTAGCCAGGCTCGGTGGCTCAGCCTGTAATCCCGCGCCTTTGGGAGGCTGAGGTGAGTGGATTGCCTGAGCCCGCGGGTTCGAGACCCGCCTGGGCAACTTGGCAAGACCTCATCTCTACAATAAATCAAAAAATTAGCCGGGCGTGGTAGCGCGCGCCTGTAATTCCATCTACTCGGAAGGCTGAGGCGGAAGGATCGCCGGAGCCCAGCAGGCAAGGCTGCGGTGGCCAGGAGCGGCTACTGCACTCCAGTCTGGGTGACAGAGTGAGACTCCAACTCAAAAAAAAAAAAAAATTATTTCTTTAGTCTTTGCAAGTAGTAATTATTAAGTAGTTTTTGTGATTTTTGTGAAATGCACTGTAGAAGATTTTCTTTAAAATAAGTATATAAAACTTCAAAGCATCATTAGGATTTTCATTAGTATACAAGTCAAAACTAAAAATTTTAAGACAGACTAGTTTCATTTTACAAGAGAAGAAGATTTGAAAAGAGCTGATTTTACTGCTTGACCCTGACTGGTTGCTCATAATACTTTTCCTGATAGAAGACAGTGAATGAGATATAAGGCTCAGAGGACAAACCCCTCAAAATATAAGAAGCATACTGTCTTATAATTCTACTTAATGAAGCCTATGTTTGATTAGCTAGCTGTTATAATTACAATTTAAAGTCCTTTAGATACAGAAATTCTACTTTTTCCAGAACAGACATGCATATCCTTCTACTACAATTGGGAGAAAAACAAGTATTAGATTTTAACTGTTGAGCTCTTTTATTTTTTTGAGTCTAACAGTCAACATATATTTTTTCTTTTCCTTCACAGTCTGGCATTCATTTGATTCATTAGCTTCTCCAATTTGATTGCTAGGGCCATGTTTCCTTTAATCTTCAATTTTCCAGACATGAATGCCATTGTTGGTTTTAGTTTCCCTAAAATGAGAAAATGAGAAAAGGAGAGAGGGAAAAGCAACCATTAGTGCCCTTAGGGATATACTCCTACAAGAACATGCATTATAAAAAGAATCTCCCTGAGTTCTGTAAATCTCTGACAACATTTTACATCAGTATCTTGGGAATTCCAATTTGTAGACGTAAATGTTAACAATATCTTATAACAGATAACATAAAACAACAATCAGCAAAAGATTATAGCAAGTCTTTTTACACTAAAAAGATTTTTATATGCTAAAGGATGCATGGCCCTCAAATGAGTTCTAGTAAACAAATACCATCTATTTTAGTTATTGTTCCAATTTATTACATAGTTCATTAAACTTTTAACATTTCAAGTTTAAGTTCAAAATATCAATGTAATGAATAAAATAACCTTAAGAAATGGTCATTACAAGTATAGTGTCTGGGCACAAGTATGTGTTAACATTGTTTTAAACCACAGAAATGCCTGGGTATTTAAACATGTGAGCATTAAAATAGAGTTGTAGCTAATAACACTATATAATAAATATGAGCTTCATGGAGAGAGAGAACTTTGGTTTCATTTGCTACTCGTATTTCAGTATGGGGTCTGTCACACAGTATAATTAATGAGGAAACTGAGACTCAGAGAAGATTTTGACTTACCCATAGTCACGCAGCTTGTATGAAGCAGTGTGGCAATTCAAAGCCAGGTATGTTGACCTCATTTATGATTTTTCTGTCTTACATTATGCTAACTTATATGTAGCTCATATCTCCCAGAAGGCACAATATGTATCTGGTGTATTAATAACCACTCTCCCTGCCCCCATGTCACACACAGGTTCTTTGTAGAGAAAGTGTATGAGTTATTATAATAAATAGATATGTGTGTAAAATGATTTCATTATATATTACAATGCAATAATAATAGAAATAGAGTGCACAATAAATGTAATGCATTTGAATCATCCTGAAACCATCCTCCGATCCCCCAGTCTGTGGAAAAATTGTCTGCCGTGAAACTGGTCCCTGATGCCAAAAAGGTGAGGGACCACTGCTTGAATGCATCCTTTCTAATGAAACTACTGGATAATGTGTGCTACTAACATGAAGATGTAAACCAAAAAAGACACAGAATCCAGGAAACAGAAGATTCAATGCAGGAGAGAGTTAAAGAAATTAGGACAACAGCTGTGTTGCAGGCTTAATGAGCTACTGGTTTAGATTGTAACATGAAGATGAAGGGGTCCAGGAAAAAAGTGAACTGACATGTTCTGTTACATTTGACAAAGTAGAAAACTGCATCAAGAGGCTGTGGGAAAATTATAGGAAGACTTTGCCAAGGGTCATGAACTGAATGTTGGTATCCCCCCCAAACTTCCTTTCTTGAAGCTCTTACCCCCAGTGTATAGGGAGATGTGGCCTTGGGGAAGTAATTTAGTTTAGAAGAAACAATGAGAATAGAGCCCAAGTGATGGGATTAGTGCCCGTATAAGAAAATGAAGAGAAGGCCAGGTTCGGTGGCTCAGCCTATAATACCAGAACATTGGGAGGCTGAGGCGAGTGGACTGCCTGAGCCCGAGGGTTCGAGACCAGCTCCAGCAACTTGGTAACACCTCGTCTCTACAATAAACAAAAAATTAGCCGGGTGTGGTAGCATGCGCCTATAGTTCCAGCTACTTGGAAGGCTGAGGCAGGATTGCCTGAGCCCAGCATGTCGACGCTAAGGTGGCTATGAGCGTGCCACTGCACTCCACCTTGGGCAACGGAGTGAGACTCCAACTCAAAAAAAAAAAAAAAAAGAAAGAAAGAAAATGAAGACAAACAGTTCAGTGGTGTTTAAGTTCAGTTACAATGTTATGTGCTACTACCACCTCTATTTAGTTCCAAAATATTTTCATCACCCCAAAATGAAAAACTCCAGGGATTTAGCATTTGCAGTTTACCCTCTCTCCACATCCTTGGTGACCACCAATCAGCTTTCAGTGTCTATGGATGTACCTAATCTAGCTGTTTCATATAAAATGATTCATATAATATGTGAATATGATCTTTTGTGTCTCGCTGTTTTCATTCAGCATGTTTTCATCCATGTTGCAGCATGCATCAGTACTTCATTCCTTTTTATGGCTGAATAATATTCCAATGCATGTTTGTACCACAATTTGTCTTTCTAGTCATCCCTTAACTTAATGGACATTTGGGATATTTCCACCTTTTGGCTGTTGTGTATAGGTGTTGCTGTAAATATGCATGTATATATACTTCTTTGAGAGCCTGTTTTCAGTTATTTTGAGTATATGTTTAGGAGCAGAAATGCTAGGTAATTCTAGATCATATGGTAATTAATTATATATATCTATAGCTACCACCTGATCCTCAGCAAAGGTGCTAAGACCATTCAGTAGGAGAAAGAACAGTGTATAACACAGATGGTGCTGGGATAACTGGATGTCCACAAATAAAATAATGAAGTTGGACTCCCCAAATCATACTATATAGAAAAAATCAAATCAAAATGGAAAAGAGGTCTAAATGTAAGACCTAAAACTAAAAACTCTTAGATGAAAATAAGGGGTAAATCTTCATAACCTTGATTTGGCAAAGAATTCTTAGGTATTACACTAAACGCATAAACAACAAAAATAAATAAGATGGAATTTGTCAAAGTTTAAAACTTATGTGCTTCAAAATATATCATCAAGAAAGTGAAAAGACAATCCACCAAAAAAGGGAAGACATGCTTGCAAATCATGTGTGATAAGAAACATACCTGTAAATACATAATTCTTAAAACTTAATAATAAAAAGGCAAATAACACAATTAAAAAATGAACAAAGGACTTGAATGGACATTTCTCTAAGGAAGATATACTTGTGACCAAAGAGTACGTAAAAAAAATGTTCAATACCAATATTCATTAGGGAAATGCACATCAAAACAAGATACCACATCACATCCACTAGGACGGTGATAAAAAAAAAAAAACTGAAAAAATAACAAGTGTTTGATGAAGGCAAAGCTCTGGAGAAGTAGAAATCTTTATACACTGCTGGTGGGAATGTAAATGGTGTAGCCACTATGAAAAACAATTTAGCCAGGTGTAGTGGCTCACACCTGTGATTCCAGCACTTTGGGAGGTGGAGGCAAGAGGTGGAGGTGGTTGCAGGCCTCGGCAACTTGGCGAGCCCTTGTCTCTACAATAAATCAAAAAATTAGCTGGGCACGGTGGCGCACACATGTAGTTCCAGCTACTTGGAAGGCTGAGGCAGAAGGATTACCTGAGCCCAACAGGTTAACGCTGCAGTGGCTGTGAGCTTGCCACTGCACTCCAGCCTCGGCGACAGAGTGAGACGGTCATTCAAAAGGAAAGAAAAACAGTTTGTCAAATCTTTGCAAAGTCAAACATAAAATTATATTATGACCTAGCAATTCTACTCCTAGGTAGATAGGCAAGAGGAATGAAAACATATGTCCACACAGCCACTTGTGTATGAGTGTTAAGTGAAACATTATTCACAATAGCCAAACAGTAGGAACAACCTAACTGTCCATCAGTGGATGAATGGATCCAATGGATGAATTAATTGTAGCATATCCATACAATGGAATATTACTCAGCCATAAAAATAAATGAGGTACTGATACATGTTATAGCTTGGACGAACCTCAAAAACATTGTTAAGTGAAAGAAGCTAAAGCAAAGAGTCACATATTGTTTGATTCCATTTATATGAAATATCTAAAATATGCAAATCAGTAGAGAGAAAAAGCAGATTAGTGGTTGCCAGCAGAAGCAGGAATGAGGAGGGCTTACGTAAATGGCACAGGTGTTCTTCTGGGGTAATGACAAGTTTTGAAACTAGGGAGAACTGGTGTTGAATAGCATTGTGAATACATTAAGTGTCACTGAATTGTACACTGATTAACTGTATATTTTGAGAGTTTCATCACAATTGTTTTTAAAAAGGAAATGAAGTACTAATACATGCTACAATAAGGATGAAACTTGAAAATGTTATGCCAAGTGAAGGAAGCATTTCACCAAAAAAATCCCATACTATGTGATTTAGTTCATAGAAAAGTCAGGAATAGAGAAAACTACAGAAATGGCAAGGCAATTAGTGGTTACTTAGAGTTGAAGGTGGAGTTACAGAGTGATATGGGTTATGCTAGCTAATGGGTGGGGGGTTTCTTTGTGAGGTGATAAAAATATTCTTAAAGCAACAGATGCAAAAACCACTGAATTATATACTCTATTATTTTTTTGAGTTGGAGTCTCACTCTGTCACCTAGACTGGAGTGCAGTGGTCGCTCCCGGCCACCGCAGCCTTGACCTGCTAGGCTCCGGCGATCCTTCTGCCTCAGCCTTCCGAGTAGCTGGAACTACAGGCACGCGCTACCACACCCGGCTCATTTTTTTTTATTTATTGTAGAGATGAGGTCTCGCCAAGTTGCCCAGGTGGGTCTTGAACCCGCGGGGTCAGGCAATCCACTCACTTCAGCCTCCCAAAGGCGCGGGATTACAGGCTGAGCCACTGAGCCCGGCTGAATTATATACTTTAAATGAATGAAATTAGTATATTAATTATATCTCAATGAAGCTTTTACAAAAAAAAGCTATTGACACACAAAAAGAAATTGGATTATTAATTTAAAATCTTCCCCCCAAAATACCCAGCTCCAAATAGCTTCACTGGCTAATTCACAGGATACAAAATCAATACACAAAAATTAGGTATGTTTATGTATACCAGCAACAGGCAATTTAAAAATAAAATTAAGACAAAAATTTCACTTACAATAGTATACAAAAGGATAAAATATTTATGGGAAAAAGCATGAAGCATAACAGGAAAGAATAATAGGTAGACTTTATCAAAACAAAAACATTTGTAATGCAAAAGATACTATCAAGAAAATGAAAAGACAAGCCACAGACTGGGAGAAAATATTTGCAAGCCACATATCTGATAAAGAACATGCAATCAGAATTTATGAAGAATCTTAC